TCCGCCCTCAGGGCCGTTTCTTCCCATTCCAAAAAGGTTCATCCTTCTTGAAGAGTAATCAATTAACTATTTCTGCTGTTAGTAGTTATGTTGTGAACAATTATGGCCAATTTGGTGTATCATATCATAAATGAAAATTTACATGATTTGATGAATCCATTAAGCAGTTCATGGTGCCAAATGTCACTGATATTGGTCTCAAACCAAGGCCGGTGAAGAAGGTTTCCATAAGTGGTGGAGGTCTAGTTGATATTGTGTGGAAATATCAGTCAAACTAAGGTTGAGATTGATTAGTTTGGAAATCTAGAAACTAGATTTGGCTGAAATATAGAAATTTAAAAACTAGAAACTAGTTTCAAACGAAAATTGTATAGTTTCTACTTTCTAGGTTATAAACATTATAATCTCCAAGAAATGTAATACTTTTAGCTTTACATTTAGATGTGTGAATGGGCTGTGGTGGTTACGGATGTATACTTGCTCATAATTTACTCTTTTCTCACTAATAAAAGTTACATGTTACGTTGTATAAGTCAAACCTTAAATTTTCTACCTTCTAAGTTCTAAGTCAGATTTACATGCTTGATCACTTTCTGATTTTTTCTCATTAACACAGTTTTCCATTTGTATGCATTCTGTGAGTTCTGTTTGCCTTTTGGTTGAAGTTGTTTTAAATCTCTTTGTGAATTGAGTTCCCTTGACCAATCTCCAATCAATAAGACAACATAACTATTGTCTAAAACTGATTGCTTCCTTCTTCTAGAATTTCTTTTCTTCTGAATTGCATATTTTTTCATCTGGACTTGGCGTTTTTGTGACTTTATAATGGATCATCCATTTTGTGTTTCTGTGCATTTGGTTTGCATGTTCAGAGCTCTTCTTTACCTTATTTAAAGTTGAAACCATATACTCCCACATGTCTTATGCCTTTTTGGACCTGTCATCTCCATATGCTCTCTTATGCTCCATAATTCGTTGGTTTTTATATTTGATAGGAACATATAAAGCTGAGAAAGGTGGCATGTTCAACACTGGCAACCAGTCATTTGAATATCTTTTTGCAAGTTTTGTCAGAAATCTCGAAATCCATAAACTATAAACAACCTCGAAACTAAATTTGGATGAAATATACGGAGTAGTTTTTAGAGATAAACATTATGCTAAATACAAATAACTGCATCCAGAAATATAGATAGTCTTAATTTGGATTGAATTATATACTTATTGTGACACTTTTGTATGTCTACTGTTTGTTTCTTATTGTTGTATCATGTGTATTGTTTTTGTTGCAGAATGTGTTTTTTTGTTTCAAAGTGTTTCTTATTATTGTATCATGTTGCTTATTGTTGTTTTTGTTGATTTATAATTTTTTAGGCTTCTATTTATCTTTGCAACTTCATTAAAATCAAAATATCTATATAGATTACTAAAGAAACACCTAAAAAGGGTTTGTGCTGCAGATAAGATGAAGCCATTTTTAATGCTTAATTGTTTATTTAAGAAAACAGTAAGTTGGTGTTTAAGAAAAGTCCTTAAATGAGAAGGCAATGGTCATTGAAGAACTTACACCCTAAGTTATCCCAAATAGGATCATAATATCTATTTTGATAATACAATAACTAAATTTAGGATATCCATTTCTTTGCAGATTTCTTGTCTTCACTCAGGAAGTAGGAAGTACTCACTGCTTTCCATTTGTAAATCAACCTTACTAGGTGGCTGTGGTGGAGGAAATGGTGTATAAGATTTCTTCTCTTTAGTCTTAGTTTTCTTTTGTTTAACATTCTACTTCTTGAAGTTCGGAAGAAACTTGTCCCAATTTTCATTTGCCAGTGATGGATCTTTGGCGAGTTCTCTCTACCATGATCTGCACTTGTTTTAACACCTTAAATGAACCCATGGCAGCAACAATGTTTCCCTTGACCAGAATATAGCACCCCGTAACAGGTGAACAAAATATTTTTTACATGTATCGTGTTGCTTTCTACTATATTGTGTTGTTTTATATTGTCCGACAGTTAATTAGGCATGAAAGCTCTTCATATCGATTCACTTACAAAATTAAAGAGAGAGCTCCCAAAGTTGAAGTTGTGAAGAAGCACATAGAGAAATATGGCATAATTGCTCTACTGGGAAGGAAGCGCTCACGGTTCCAATTTTTTTGTCACCCCTATGTAAATGTATTATACTATAAAAAAAATTAGTGGTGTATTATCTAATTTTGTATTTTGTAAGGATAGTTCTCATCATTCATTAACAAATATGATACTTTAATAAGGTTTTTTTGTTGGCCTTTGTTGCATAGCATCGCTTTTTTGTTTTTTTTGTTGCATCATGTTCTTTATTGTTGCATCGTATGTGTTATTTTTTATTGCATCATGTTTCTTTTCATTGCATTTTATGTGTTATTTTTTGTTGCATTTTGTTGTATCGTGTTGTCCATTGTTCTTTATTATTGATTTTGATTTTTTTTCTATTTCATTTATATTTATATTCTTTAGTGATTTGGAATAAAAAAATCAGATATTGCTCTATATAAAACATCTAAATTGATAAATTTAGATTTATGAATAAACAAAAAGAATCATGAAGAAACAAAAATAACTAAAGTTATCAACAAAGATAAACACAAAGAAACAATATGCAACAAAAGTATCACTTTAATGATAATAATAAAATAATACCCGTAGTAATATTTTATATGTTTGAGGTCTACATATTTTACATGTTTTTTAGTTTACTCCAGTTTTATGATTTTAAAAATTCAGAGAATCTTATTTTCTATTTTTATACTCTTTTCTACAATTATTTTATATTTTATGAATTTTTTCAAAGTTTATATTTTATTTAGAGATTTTTTTATGTTTTCAAATGTCATCATTTGTATTCTTTAGTTTTTTTTACAATTTTTTAGTTTTTACGTATTTTAAGCACTTTACTTATCTTAAAAATTTAAAATTTGTATTTTTTTAGAGGTTTTAAAAATAACAAGTATACACTTTATTTGTTTTTTTTTTTAATTTTCTGGTAATTCATATACTTCTTATTATTTTATTTGTCTTTCTTTATTTTATACTTTTCTTAATTTTAAGGTTTTCATTTATTTTTTATTTTTTAGAATATTTTATAATTTTATTGTTTTAGATTTTTTTAATCTTTTATTAAGTTTTAATTATTTTCTTATTTTCTATTTTACGAAAAATAAATTATTTAATTTTTTAATTTTGAAATTTTAAGATTTATTATTTATATAATTATAAAAGTTTCATGTTTTAATAAATTAATATTTTTAGAAATATTTATTTTCCTTTTTACATTTTTTCAAAATTCATACTCCGTAACTTTTTTCAGTTTTAGTCTTTTTAGTTTTTAAAAGAAATCAATTAATTTTATATATTTAGTAAGTTTTAAAATAAGTTTGCATTTTCTCTTATTTAGATTTTTTCTATAATTTATTCATTTTTATTATGCAAGTAGGGATTATTTTTGTAAAATGTGTAAAAGTAAAGATTATTGGTATCAATTTCATCTCGAATCTTCTTTATTTTGCAACAAATAAGTTGGAGGGTTCACTTTTCATCTAAACATATAGTAGGCATATTTACAAGTGCGGTGCAGATGAACTTGTAAATTGTCTATTAAGTAGTTGCACTCTTATTTATGCGGAGTATTAGTTTTCCCTTACCGAAGTTATAAAAACGAACTTTATAGTCCATATAAAATGTATTGAGTTTATTGAGTATGTGCACTTTTACTTGAAATCATTGTACATTTTATATTCAATGTAACTTTATAATTTTTTTCTTTTAAGTTGCACCATATGGACTTTAAATAAAATTTGCTAAAAATCATATACTATGATGCAAACATTCGGTGAATGCATCATGCACCTTTACACATATTATGATGCATTATACTTAAATCTACGCATGTTTAGAGGCTGTTTGGAACCCCAAATATCGGCTGATAAGCCTGAAAATTTAGAAATATAGCCAAACACATGGCAAATTGGCTGGTTGGGCTGAATTTTCTTATCAGCCAAAAAAGTAAGAGTATGGTTACTTTTTGAGCTGAAATATATTAATTCACTTTTGGACACAAGAAACACTCCTTTACTCTTTTACGCGTAATACATCCCGTTGCTTTGCAATTGTTTTTCCTTCCAGATGGATGTCCAGAACCACTTCCAGAGTTCCAGAAGGCTGCACTATATTTTCCTTCCATTGTTTTGTCCTTCCAGATTGAAGTGCTAATGTTCACAGACTTCTTCTCCGTATTTTTAATGTTCGGAGACAAGTTTTTGCTAAATATTTTTAAGTGCAATAATGTCCCATGACTTTTCCATATTTTTAATGTTGGTAGACTCAAGTCTTTACCAAGTATTTTCTAATCCTTAATTAACTTTAAATTAACTGGTATGGTGTTATTTATTGAATTGGAAAGGATGCAATGCTAGGATCGTAATTACTTCTCCATATATATAAAATTGTTAAAATCCTAATTATCCTTTATAGTAATTTTACACTCAATCAGCCATTTCAGTTAACATATTACCAAACGCTTTCATTTCAGCACCCCTTTTCAGGCTTTTAAGCCATTCCAGTCAATGCAGCTGTTACCAAACATGCCCTTAACAATATATGTTTTCCAGTCTACATATCTTAATACTTTTGATAATTCTTTTATGTTCTCGATAGTCATGTTTTTTGCTTTTTAAGCACCAAAACTTATAATTGATACTTCCACCGTCCCCTAACTTTGTCTCGTTTTACCTTTTTCGTTTGTCCCATTAAGTTTGTCCCGTACCATATTTGATAATATTTCTATGGCTACAATTCATTCTTTCTTTATTCCACTTTATCAATTCAATATCAACCACACAATTCTACTTTTTCTTAAAAATCACACCACACCTCTTTGTCCCAAACTTAGGGGATAGAGGTAGTATGTTTTTTTGCTACCAAACGGGCTCTTAAATTATTAAAATGACAATTCAATTACTAAAATGTCACCTGTTCTATGCGTACGAACTCAGAACAGATTATGTGTATCCTTCCTCAAATCCTATGATTGCATAAAACACTATTCGAAAGTTCGCATCTGCGGATTTAGATAATGTTATAGGGTTATGATATACGAAGTATAAAGACAACATTTTTCTATGAGTGATATCTTAAATCAGTATGAATCAGTTACAAGCTCTTAGACAGCTCAGAATCAGAGCAACTCAGTCTGCCTTCACTTATCTGGGTTCACTCAACTCCACCAGGTTTTTCTTTTCCAGAATACATTTGCCAAAACTACTCGGAATTTCCGGATTTAATTGATTGGATTTAGAAATGAAGAGATTAGATTATTTTTTTGTAAATAAAGAGATTTGTGTACATGGAATATATAGAATCTCATTTCATTGAATTTTGTCACCGATACAAATAGGCGTTGCCATAAAAACCTACATTACCTTTTCTTATCAGGAAAGTTATATTCTTGTACTAATGAACAATTGAATTGCTCGATAAGCTCTTTCTATCAATTGTGTAAAAATCTGAAGGCGCCATGAGGCCTATTGTCTGTGGTAGGACTAATCGGGGTTAGACTGGATCCAGGTGGAATCAATATGAGATCACTTTTTGTTTGAAATTCTTATCAGCCAGACCTATTTTTCTCCTAACCATTAGTTTGTGACAGGCTGAGAGCCTGTATGCTGTGGTGAATTTTCGTGATGACATCCTCTCATGCATTACTTCATAAACCAGTGGTTTTATATCTGAAGACATTTATGCTTCAAGCTCTTTACATTTGCATATAATATGAATATATGACGTTAATGATCTATCGTTTTCCAAAAAGTATGTTCTAAAGTATATTGTTAGTTAGATTCCAGAGCATAAATTAGCTTTTTATTGGATATTTGGAGACAGCTTGGTGGTTGATTTTGTTTTTTTTTTGAATTTAATTCTATGTAGTGAGAGTGCTCATAGTGAATTCTTTTTCATTTGTTTAATGCACACAGGTCCAGCCATTCCCAGTCCCATGGCAGCAATTCACTGCATTTTTCAACTTTAAATGTTGAAGAAATATCTGGCTCTCTACCTGCTGAAGTGTCCAACTTGGGTATGTAATAAACATATCTACAGGAATTTAACTTGATACCTAGAAGCAGTTTTTATTGACTTATTGTTGACATCTAGAAGTGGGATATAGTAACATTTTTAGTAGATCATTTATCTTTATGCGCGATTCTTTCAGCAAAATATGTTATTGGTTCCCCTGTTTATAGTTTTGATATTAGATTAGTTCCTCTCAACATCTCCTTCATTCGCATTAGGAGAAACCGAATGACTGCACTTGTGTAGCCTTAGAAACATAAGGGAGTGTATTCATTTTCCAGTGCAGGGAAAGTGGGTAAAGTCTTCCGGCTATAGCACAATATTGGATCCCTTAAATGGGGAGTCATTTATAAAAGTTGCAGAAGTACAAGAAGCAGAACTGCAGGTACAAAGTACATCAGATAGACACTGTTCATTCTGCACCAGTTCTGTTAGAAGGAATTATTTAATAAATTATAAACATATAAGAGTATATTGCACCAGTTTTGTAGAAGGGATTTATTCTCTTATTTGTCTCACACAGTTACACTTATTTCTGATAAACACTGCCTCTTATGTTTCTCTTTCCCATGTGCAGCCGTTTGTTGAGAGCATGATAAACTGCCCCAAGCATGGCCTACATAATCCATTTAAAGCACCAGAAAGGTTTGCAAAAATTAATCACGATCCCCCCCAGAATCATCGTTGAGTTAACTAGAGAAACGAAACAAACCAGAAAGAAACTTGGTTGTCTGGTGACATATTTGTTAATACTCATAGAGGTAGAATAATTTTCAGTTAGTTAGAAATATGGTAATTTATATAAAGACCATTTTTGCAGATATCTAATGCTTGGAGACATCTCTGCAAAGGCAGCTCATATGCTATCACTTCCTGAGGTAATGCAATTCAAGCTAAGATACTTTATATCTGTTATTAGATATTAGATTAGGGGGTGTTTGGAACTGATTCTGCTTCTGCTTCTTTTTTTAAAGCAGAATCAGAATCAGTTTTCAGAAGCTGGTCTCCCCCAGCTTCTAAAAAAACTGATTCTAGGAGTAAATTAGAGCACCAGAATCACTTATGTGCTTTCACCCAAACACTCAAACTTCTGCTTCTGCTATCTTAAGGAGCAGAAGCAATTTTAAGAATTAGATCCAAACACCCCCTAGATTGTTAATGGAACATTGCTTGTGCGGTGACTTATTATGGTGGAGGGTCAATGATTTCCAGGTTTCAGACTTCTTCACAAGGTTAATACAGAGGGTGGCTCCTAAGAGTTACCAGCAAGCTCTCGGCGAAGTTGTTGTCACACAAAAATTTTTAGAAAATTTTTCTGGTGATCAGGTACAAATGCTCTTAGTCACGCTATTTGTTCATATGATCAATGTAGAGGAGGAAGACGAAATAATTTTTATACTCATTCCCGAATTATTGATTACCAAATTAAAAGGCATGACATAATGATAGTTAAGGAGGATAATAAACAAAAGGAATAGCTGAAAGCTTGAAACATAATTTACTTTGATATTGACAGGCATGCACTATAAAACACCCAAACTAGATATTTGGTGACTGAGCTTATTTAAGTTGTTTTACTATTCTAGACTGTGTAACATTTTTTTGCCTCATTGGATTTTAAGATTTCAGAGAAATTATAATAGCCTTCTCTCATGTGAATTATGAAAGCATTGATGAATTTCCAGAATATGATGATATTCTAAAAGTTTATCTCAATCTATTTTCTTTCAATCTGGCAGGTCCGATTTCTGGCGAGGTCTTTTGGAGTGCCAGGAAATTATCTGGGACAGATCAGCCATGGTTTTCGCTGGCCTTATGGTTCTGTAAGGATTTAATTATAAAAATACTAGATTCAGCGCAATAGAATGTGCATCAGAGATGTCCCCGTGATAATTTTTTCTCATCTGCACGCCCTCCTATTTGATTTAAACACCCAAACAGTTCGTTTACTTTGACATACTGATTGAATTGTCAATATATTTGTGAACTATTGCTAAAAATCAAGTAAGTTATATTTCTAACCAGAAAAATATAATTCATTAATGGTGAAAGTCTAAAATCAATCCCTTCGCTATAATGGGCTTTCTCATCTATGTATCATCATTTTTAGTCAACTACAGGAACACTTTTCTCCATGGAGTCTGTCTAGGCTTTGCTCACCATAATCCACAAGACCACAAGTTGTCATATCATTTTGTTTTTGTGTTACATGGTATGCTTGCTCTGCTAAGATATGTCTATAGATGCATATCCATGGCTTCTTTGGGATTTGGCTGTGTATGGCAACTTCCTTTGATTTATCTTCTATTCTATACATGACTATTTCTGAAATTAGTTTACTTGTCATCCATTTAAACTCACTTTGGATCATATCTTTCTCAACATACTCGGTTATTCTATTCTGACCTTATGAGCATATAATGTTCCACATCAACTTACCTTCTGTCTGTGCCCTCATTTAGCCATTTAGGATTTTCAATATTTTTCATGAAGGGCTATATTTGTTTTTATGTATTAGGTGGCAATTGTTACTCCCTTTAATTTTCCCTTGGAGATTCCTGTACTTCAGCTGATGGGTGCATTATATATGGGAAATAAGCCTGTTCTTAAAGTTGATAGCAAGGTATAACTCTTCAAGTTTCTTGTCATCCTCTCAAAGTGCACAATAGCTCCTCTATTTAACAAGGATGATCTCTCACAAAGACAAAAACGGATAAATATGATATTTCAACTCATTTACTATGACGTCATGGGTTCTATTTACTTTTTCATCAGGTATGCATTGTAATGGAACAAATGCTACGTCTGCTTCATCATTGTGGGCTGCCATTGGAGGATGTTGATTTCTTAAATTCTGATGGAGAGACTATGAACAAACTGCTTTTGGAGGTTAGTTTCCTAAATCTAGTTCTTATTAGGAAATATATTGCAGGGCGGTCCATTTGCACGTTACAGTTCCGGTTTCCGTCCAAATTCATTTCTATTGTCCTTTGAACCATTTTCTCTGTAGTGTATTGCCAAATTCAGTTTTGCTATCACTACCCTCCAATCCAATTGCAATCTTACTATTCTCCTAATTATTAAAAGAAAGATTTACATCTTGCTAACTTTTGACATCTGTAGATCCAAGATATATATCCAGTGGAAATGCCGTGCTTTATTTATTAAAGAATTTTATTGTCATGCCATAAACACCAACACTCAAATTTGTTTGCAATTGGAGTAGGCCCCTGCCTTAAATACTTCAAATAAAAAATCAAAGATTTATAATTAGCCATTAGGAAAAGCAATAATGAATAAATGAATGAATCACTGAGATTTGATATTTCTATTAGCTAGCTAGGCAGCTAGCGGCCACTTGTCTCTGAATTTTCTTTTCACACTTCATTGCTGTTTTCATTTTTTTTCATATGCTGGACTAGGATGCTTGAGTTGTATTTAGGCAAGCCCTCCATCTCATCCTCTTCTATATTTTTGTTGTTGTTTATGAGTTGAATAGTTCATGGTTAGTTACAGTTCTAAAGTTTTCTGTGTAAATTATATACTTATGTTCCTATCCCTGAAGAGCAAGATTTCCTTATAATTCTTTGTAACTTATGATATATATGGCACCATGTTTCTTCTTCTTCTTCTTCTTCTTCTTATTGTTGCTGTTGTTGTTGTTATATTGTTGATGTACTAGCTGTTATTGTTGTCATTATTGTAATAATAATAGTAATAATAATATAATAGTAATCAATATTTTTTTTAATGTATAAGCCAAATACCTTGTGGTCTGATGGCATCACTGTGACACTCCCAAAGAGGAGGCCACAGGTTCGAATCTCATCCCAGATCAAGGATGTTGGCCTTAACATAGAACATATACTATAATAGGTAAGGAAGCTTTGCCCAAAAAATGTGTATAATAATTTGTATACATGAAATGATGAAATTCTTTTGTATAATTTTTTCTTTGGCATTTTCTAGTTTGTTTTACATGCGAGAAGTTATAATCACTTGTACTATGTCGCACATACTTATGGAAATTCCGCTTCTAGAATCCATGCCTCTGGTCTGACTTGAGGAAAAATGTTTTAATATGATTTCTCTATTTATTTTACCTGACACGACCATTTGAACTGTAATCATTAGGGGAAACCACGCATGACTCTATTCACTGGTAGTGCGAGAGTAGCAGAGAAGTTAGCTGGGGACCTTAAAGGTCGCCTAAAGCTGGAAGATGCTGGATTTGACTGGAAGATCCTTGGCCCTGATGTTTATGAGGTCTATGCTATGAACATTCATTCATTCATTCATTCATCATTACCCCAGTGCCTCAAAGGCTCCCACCTACGGTGGGGTAAGGGGGGTCAGATGTACGCAGTCTTACCCCTGTACTAAAGCACAAAGAGACTGTTTGCGGATGACCCATAGTGAAAATTGCGTCGAAAATTTCATGGACTGACTGCTTCATAACAAAGAAGCGCAGACAGTTTAGTGAGCCATTTTGCTTTATTCCATCATATTCCCAAGCCAAAAAGTAGTGAGTCTTTGGCTCCATTGCAATGTTTTATGATGTGTTTCTAAATTTTAAATATGATACATCGTGTTGAAAATTGAAATAGACAAATGTAGTAACTCTAGGCTTAGAAACCCTAGGGTTTCCCTTCCACATTCTCATTGCGGTTAGGCCATTATTTATCTACATAAACATTCTATTACTTCATAAATAATTAAGTTACAAGTTGTGAGTGCATCATATGGGTGAGAGTCGTATTATTCGACACAATGCTCATATATATGTTTGGCAGGTGGATTATGTTGCTTGGGTTTGCGATCAAGATGCTTATGCATGCAGTGGCCAGAAGTGTTCAGCTCAATCATTACTTTTTATGCATGAGGTTTCTGTGCTACTCTTATTTTCGCCTGGCTTTTACATCTTCTTTATCAGTTCACTCTATTCTGTTCTGTTCGTGGTTACATTTATTTCATGCTTTGTTGTGTGTAATTTTTATAAGGTAAAGTATGATATCATATGTTCATATCTTTTGGGCAGAATTGGGGTCGAAGTCCCCTCATCAACTTAATGAGTGAGCTTGCTGCAAGGAGAAAGTTAGATGACTTAACCATTGGTCCGGTCCTCACGGTATGAGCTTCTACTAATTTTATGAGTTCGTTTTGTGATTGAATGATTTGTTTGCAAGCCTAATCTAATATGATTTTTTCAAAAAATTCCACTCTACTCATTATTTTTTTCACCTTTAAATAACCTTGACAATGATACATGTTCACCTAGGTTTATCTTTTGGTTAAAAATAAAGGCTGTTTTACATCTCATACTTAAAATTTAAATTCTTTGCGTAAAAAGGAAAAATTTACCCTCAAGCTATTTTTATTTCTTCATTTCTTTTTAAATGAAAAGTGCTACTACATGGCGTATTGTAAGGTGTGTATATTAGCTTGAATGGGAAACGTATTACGTGGCCCCTTACCAAATTTGTTATTTCAGGTTTCATTTTCCCAGCAATAAAGTTGTGACACGTATTTTTGGATTATTTTTGCAGCTTACTACTGAAGCAATGTTGGGGCACATGAATAAATTGCTGAAGGTACCAGGATCAAAGCTTCTCTTTGGTGGTGAACCCTTGCAAAACCATTCCATACCTTCAATTTATGGTGCCATTAAACCAACTGCAGTTTTCGTTCCTCTCGAAGAAATCATGAAGGATGAAAACTACGATCTTGTCACGAGAGAAATCTTTGGCCCATTCCAGGTAATAGGTTTTTATGTATTTAAAACATTGTGGTGATTTATATATGAATTTGTTGCAAGATGTGATAGTCTCCTCAAGCCATTTTTTTGCACTGCTATATATATGAGTTTTTGTTGGCAGATTGTCACGGAATACAAAGATAATCAACTGCCCATGATCCTGAATGCTCTTGAAAGGATGCATGCAAATTTAACCGCTGCTGTAGTTTCAAATGATCAACTGTTCTTGCAAGTAAGCTTATTAACATATTCTCTTAGATTTCAAAGCGTGCAAGTTTTCATAAACAAGAAAGACAAGCGATATCTACCTGGGTAAAATTCAATCTGTTTTCTTTTACCAACAGGAGTCAAATACAATGGCATAAAAAGTGAGGAAAACCTTTTCCAGAAAATAAAAATTGTCACATAGTATACTTGCTTTGATTTTGTCTCTTCGAATGGAAAAACTTGCATGACATTTAGTCATTTACAAGCATTGCCAAAGCCCTATTTTACAATTGGCTAGGCATTGACAAGATATTAGGTGGAACTGTGGGAGAAAGTTGGAGTGATTGGCTCAATGAACTAAATACTATAGTACCTGCTCTCAAAATGAATATAAACATTAATATGCAGGAAGTAATTGGCAATTCTGTCAATGGGACTACATATGTCGGAATCAGAGCAAGAACAACAGGGGCACCGCAAAATCACTGGTTAGTAAAAAGTAGATTGTTAATCTATGAGAGTTCAGTTGGCTTTTTGGTTAGCACTGCTTCTGAGTATTTACACTCCCACTCTCCGTACCAAAAACAAGTTTCCGGTTTGACCTACACATATTTGTGCTAGTACAAGTTTTGTTTTGAATTTGTAAGTTTACCCTTTATATCAAATCAAGCAAAAAGTAAAGGTAATTATGACATACCAATTAAAAAAAATTCTTTTTATGAAAACGAGAACTTCATGTTAGGACATCCGATAAAGAAAGTTTGAACTTGTTTTTGGAACTGAGGTATTGTATTCTAAAGAGCTTTTAATACTGTGCAGGTTCGGTCCAGCCGGAGATCCGAGAGGTGCGGGAATCGGAACACCAGAAGCAATAAAGCTGGTCTGGTCTTGCCATAGAGAAATTATATATGATATTGGGCCTGTGTCGCCATCCTGGCAACTTCCACAAGCTACATAATGGAAATCCAGGGTTCATCTTTTTCTCCTTGTGATCATTGAATAATAATAGTAGTTTCTTTCTTGGGGAGCTGCCAGATTAAATGAATCGACCTGTTCAAAGACCGATAAGATGAAGAGGGCGACGCTTGGCTCTGTCATATGTTGGTAAAATCTTCCCTGTCCTCTGTCAATCCACAGGCAAGAACATAATGTAACACCTTGGTATGGCCGTTGAGCTTCTGCAATAAAATAAAGCTCCCATTGTTTCACTAGCTAGGGGATTGGACTATTTGGCTCTAGAATAGCACCCTAATATGTACATAAGGATGGACCTGATTGCATGTCCAATTGTAGCGCCACCCGTAACTGGAATCAGAAGAGGCTGTTGTTACAGGTTTGGTTCCGGTCTGAACTGTTCCCACCCAGTTCTCGATTCTGTTTCTGATTGATTTTCAGTCTTTCTTAAATTGGAGCCGGTACAGTCCGGGCCTGTGTGGGAGGAACTGTCGAACCCAAACCCGATTTGGCTCAAAGCTGAAACTCCAGTTTGGCTTCTATGCAAAATAGCGGCCTGCCACCCTGACTGGGTTCATCCCCTACATGTGCTCCCAAGTCTCAACCGATCATGTAGCTTAAAAGATCTAAAAATTGCCCAAATTGCGTCAGAAATTGAAAGTTGCTTGCATTTTTTTTACTATAAAAACGAATGCAATGAAGCTCCCGAGTGGTTAAACTCATGAAATTAAACAAGAAACTAGTCAAAAAACATAGAAAATTAGACAGCAGAGTGAGAAAATAGGTGAGAACGGGTGGGTATACTTTTATACGATACTACGATAGTACTCAGTACTCACCTATCATGTCTTCCTTATCTCTAGAAGTGATGTTCATATTCTTAATTTAAACGTTAGTATGATCTTTCGTAAATTCTTTTATTCCTTACTAGTTACTACAAAATTTAATCCGTTTGAAGCCCTTTATATCATGTTAGAAATATTCATTGGATTTCTAAGACTCGTATAAAGACTTCATTTATCAAATACGGAGTAATGGAGTATTAAAGAATGGATATATATTACATCAAAGTTAATTATTTACTCCAATGAAGTTAATTATTTGATTTGATCATATGATCATATCATTTCGTTCAAAAAAAAAAAGATTTGATCATATCATGCATTATTATTTTTTCATTTGAAACGTTTTTATCTCCTCGAAAAGTTCCATTAAAGTTCCAAAACTCAGAGAAACCTATATCTTGAACTATTTTATCCGTTTAAATCCGTGTTCATTGTGTTGACTGTTGGGAAGACACATTAAGAGCCCGTTTTCTAATATCAAAATAGGCAAAATCAACCGATTGTGTCAAATTAATGAAGTTGGGCTCAAACTCACGCACTTCAGTAAAACGTACTACGTACGTGGTAAAAAACATGTAAAACATGACACTGTGGTTTATACTATTTGGGAATTTCATATTTAAGTGCCTAAAGGCACACATTCCACACAATATGAGTTATCCACTAATCCTTTGGCCCCTCAAACTCGAGCAATAGGACCATAAGGAACCGCCCTTGCAAATGTACAGGGATTTACCAGTTCTCCTAATCATGAGGATTAAAAAACGAACCTTCTCAACTATAAATGCTTCTCAATGACTCTCCTCGTCCATATAATCCTGAAAAATTTTAGGTTTCCAATTTCAATGACTCTTTTTACTACAAGTCTATCAGGTTTCGCTAAATTAATTTTCATTATTTTAATAAGCATTCCCAAATAATTCCCAATATCTTGCACCACTTCATTTGACTTAAAACATGTCTTTAAACTATGCACTTGCACCCCAAAATGAGTAAAAGAATATAGAAATTGTCCCATATAGGACTAAATTAATATTAGAATGCTTAAACTAGATGTCTTACCATATATATATGTATATATACATATATATATATATATATATATATATATATATATATATATGTATATATATAGGAAATCTTTCCGGTAAGGTATACCTTACCGGAGCCGCCGTGCGGCCTCCGCGTTTTGAGGGCCTTCCCGGTGGAATTTTTTGATGAAATTTTTTGAGCATGTTCGTCATCAAGTCTAGTACATCCATACCAAATTTCAGCAAAAAATTCAATTGGGAAGGCACTCAAACGATTTTTGGAAGATAACTGCGTTTTATATGTATATAAAGGGTGCAGTTATCTTCCAAAAATCATTTGACTGCCTTCCCGATTGATTTTTTTGCTGAAATTTGGTATGGATGTACTAGACTTGATTAGTCATGGACCCGGGCCGGTCCGGTTCCGGTTCCGGGCCGGGCCCAGTCGGGCTTTTTTTTTTTGGGAAGGAAGGCCCGGGACCGGCCCGGGTCGGGCCTCCGGTTTGGTTATTTTTTTGCTTTCCTAACCCCCCTCACCCTCCCCCCCCCAAAACCCCCAAACCCCTCCTAACCATCAAGCCCAACCCGGGTGGAACCCCAAAAAATTAAAAAAAAAATCAATTAGGCCCGGGCCCGACCCGGCCGGGCCGGTTCGCCAAATACAAGGCCCGAGCCTGGACTCGCCCCCCACCGGGCCTAGGCCCGACCTGGACCCGAGAACCGGGCCAGTTCCGGGCCCGCACAGTAGCGGGCCGGCCGGCACGGCGGGCCGGGCCAGTTGCGAGTCACGAGTCCTGGTTCCGCCACTATGTCTAAGTTACGTAAACTAATGGGACACGGTGCAGCTGACAAGGAAAAAAGCCAACGTTTTTCTAAAAGGCTAAAGAATCAAATAAGTCCTTGTATCCTTTCGGATTGCTCAATTTGTCCCTTGAACCAAAAAAAGTTCCAATTGGCACCCTGGACTTGATAAAAAGATTCAAATTTCACTTTTTGCAGGTTTCAATCCGGTCACCGCCATGTTACCCAGTAGGGTGTCAATTGTGCATGTGACGTGGCAACTTAAGAGGTCAAATAAGCCCCTGAACCCGACCTAATCGCTCAATTTATCCCCTTAACCCTAAAAAATGTCGAAAATTTGAAAAAAAAAAGAAAAAATTCAATAATAAATAATTAATAATAAATTAATTATAAATAAAATTATAAATAAAATACATGTCGAAAATATAACATATTTATCATTTACGGTAAATTTAAAATAAACAATAAAATATAAACTAAAAAATCTTTAACTTTATTTCCATATTTTATAACTACTCCATACTACGTATATTTCATATAAAAATAAACAATGTATTTTTACCAAATATATTTCAATTTTTATTTTATGTATTATATATTATGGCTTGTAATATAACACAAAGTTTAGGTTTTTGGTTTGATAATTTATACGAAGCATTATGTTTAAATTATCCATTTGTATTTTTTCGTTTCATATTTTTTAATTTATTTAAAAATATAATAAAAATTAACATACAATTTTTATTTAACTATTTTTTTAAAGTTACTAATTACACTTTTTTATATCTATAGTAATATAAAAATTACTCATATATAAGACTTAAAATATAAAAATATTAACTACTTATTTATATTATTTATAATAAATATATTGATGTCTTTTTTACGTATTACATATAAGAATTAGTTCCTTTTAGTTTATATTTTATTTCTTTATTTTGAATTTACCAAAATAAATAAATATTTCATATTTATATTTTATATATTTGACTTATTTTTTATTTTATTTTTTTATTTTCATTTGTTTTTTTTTTCTCGCAATTTTTGACGTTTTATAAGAGTTGAGGGGGTGAATTGAACGATTTAATCGGGTTCAATGGCTTATTTGACCATTTAAGTTGCCACGTCAAATGCACAGTTGGAATCCTACCAGGTGACGTGGCGGTGACCGGATTGTGACCTGTAAAAAGTGAAATTTGATTTTTTTAAATCTAGTTTAGGGTGCCAATTGGAGCTTTTTTTTAGTTCAGGGGCAAATTGAGCAATTCAAAAAGTTACATGGGCCCTATTTGACCCTTTAACTTTTCTAAAATGAGTGCCACGTAAGCGGCAACCGGGATTAGAGAGTTCTTAACAGGTCATTCGGCCTCATCTGCTCATTTTTTAAAAGTAAAAATACGTTGGTGACACTCTTACTATACGAGGATAGTAGAAGACCTTAATACGAGGATAGTAGAAGACCTTATCTGACAATTTTCCCTAAAAATATACGAGTAGTAAAAATAAAACGGGGTCTGTTTCCCTCAACATGTAGGGTTTGAAGCGCCGCCAAACTCGTCTTCATGCGAATTGTTTCGGTTTGATTTGAAGCTTTGTTTCTGCTTTCATTCTTGTGTTTTAGTTTTGTTCATTCCCCACAACGGAGAATTTTGCACAGTATCAGTCCAGGACGCCGCCGAGTAAAGCATCAATGGAGGAACAATGCAGCCGACTCGATCAGATGGTTTCCTGTCGTCGTTGGAAGATGATGGGAGTATGGAAGAGGGTTTCCCATGGTGCATGGTTTCTAGTGGGTATCGCCATCACCGGAAAGTCCATAAAAATCACAATACGTACCTGGGGTTATTTTGGCGACCTAGCAAAGGAAGGATCATCAAGAAGCTAAGACAGGGAATGATGGATTTGGAGCCAGTTGGAGGAAAAAATTCGGTTATGGCTGACAGGCCCGCTAAGTATGTAATCTCATGACTAGTCATTTATTATTGCACATATTTATTTGCGTTTTCGTTTAATTTTCAAATTGTGTTTGGTTATTACATTTACTTGGTGTTGGTTTTTGGCACCCTGGATTATGGGCTGTTTTATTGTTTTGATGATTAGTAGGAGACATGAGTCTTTTAGGTTGTACAACAGGAGCGTCGGTAGTTTAGAGGAGGCGTATATAGTACAGGCGGTTGTACGGTGAGAACCGTACAGCCGGTGGCATTTTTGTAATTTACATGAAATTCGCGCGTTGTACTAAATGAGCATTAAACCATGTCTAGTGAGCATGATAGATATTCTGCTGAGCATTAGAAGCATAAGAATGAGCATCGTGGTCCCTGCTTCATCTCTTCGAATTTACTTTTTGTTCCTTATTTTTTTCTTTATAAAAACTTATTAAATTATATCTATAATCAACTCTTATGAACTTCAGGATGCGAATTTAATGGAATATGATACTTTTGAAATATACATTGTTATGTCATTTTACAAATGAGCATAACATGAATACCCGTTGAGCATACATAACTTATAAAATGAGAATAGATATGAAAATCATAAATACATTTAATTTAACATCAAGACATTTTCATTGAGCATCAACTTGAAATTAAAAGCACCAGTGATTTTCATTATGCGATTGTGATGAGCATCGAGTCCGTTCTTTTGAGTATTAGGAGTCTAACAATGAGCACCAGTGATTTCTGATTCATATCTTCTAATTCAATTTCTTTTTATTATTTTTTCGTTTATAAAAAATTATTAAATTATGTTTATAATTAATTCCAATATGTGAATCTAATGTAGAATGATATGTTTGATATGTGCATCATTTTAAAATGAGCATAAAGCCGTACAAAATGAACATACATAATTTACAAAATGAGTATAAAAAATTCAAAACCTCATTTGTGTATGCTCATTGATTTTGGGCGTTATAGTTGATATGTGAATCATTTTAAAATGAGCATAAAGCAGTACCAAATGATCATACATAATTTACAAACGAGTATAAAAAAAATTAAAAGCTCATTTGTGCATGCTCATTGATTTTGGCGTTATACTCATTTAAGTTTAACATAAAACTCATTTTAATGTGCTTAATATTCAGTTGTGTAAATTCATTTCTTTTAAGCCTATACTCATTTGAGTTTAATACAAAGCTCATTTTTAATGTGTTTAATATCCGGTTATGTTTGTTCATTTCTTTTATAAGTATACTTATTTGAGTTTAATATAAAACTCATTTGAGATCAATAGCAGTGAGGATTCCTATGTCTGCAGCAGACTCTCTTTGT